CATTAAAAATTACCCTGTTAAATCTCCATAAAAATTGTCATAAAATACGAAACCATGGTGAAAGAAAAATTTCGTTACAATTTCACCATAAATAAACGAAGCTTTCTCGGTAATTTAATTTTAATTATAAAATTGAGAATTTTAAACATTATCCTTTTCTTTATCTATTCAAAATTACCCCGTTAAATTTTTATAGAAATTTTCATAAAACACGAAACCAAGATGAAAGGAAAATTTCGTGACATTTTCACCACAAATAAACGAAGCTTCCTCGGTAAATTAATTTTAATTACAAAATCGAGAATTTTAAACATTACCCTTTTTTTATCCATTAAAAATTACCCTGTTAAATCTCCATAAAAATTGTTATAAAACACGAAACCAAGGCGAAAGGAAAATTTCGTCACTATTTCACCACAAATAAACGAAACTTCCTCGTAAGATCGAGAATTTAAAAAATTACCTTATTTTACCCATTTAAAATTACCCCGTTACTCTTGCTTCGTTAAATCTCCATAGAAATTGTCATAAAACACGAAACCAATGCGCAAGGAAAATTTCATCACAATTTCACCATCGATCAATCGAAACTTAGCGTTGTTTCAACTTCAGTCGGAAGTGTAAAATTACGAAAATTCGTCTGACAAATTTTCAATATTTTTCTTCTCCTTTTCGACCTTGTTTTCCTTTTTCCTCGTCTACTACGTTAATTTAAAATTCTATTTTCCTCCGTTCGTGAGTTGAAGCGAAAAAAGGAGAAGAACCAGCGCTCGGCAGAATTTCCAGAAAAAGGAGAGTTTAATTAATTTATATGCCGGCGAATTTTCAACTTGGCGAATTTTTTCCAAGACGGAAGTCGCAGGGATGACAGACGAATCCCCGGATAAATGTTCGAGCGACTGTTGAACGGGGAGGCACGCGGAAAGTGGAACAACGGGGGAGCTGTTTTCGTTGGTTCGAAAGTTGAAAACGATTCTTTTTTCTCCTTAGCTAGAACCGAAAAGTTTCTGGCTGTCTGGTTATTAAGGGAGAGAAAGACTCGAATTTCAGGAAAAATTACCCTCGCGTTCGGGCACCCGCGGGGGTGGCTGGCGAACAGCCCTGCTTCCCTCGTTGTTTACCTTTCCTCGGGCACGTGAAGTATCTTCCATGGGGGCAACAAACTTCCCAACCTCGGGAATAAAACACCTCGATCGAGATATCGAGGCTCCCGACTGTTTCAGCGAATTTTTCGTTTCCTAGTTCTTTTTTCGCTTGGGTAGAATTATCTAGTGAAATCTTGGGGATATTGATGAGATATTATACTATACTCTGGACAGCTAAAATTAGTAGACTGTAAATCTAAAATAAATTCATAGATGAAATAAAAATAGTGTTAAGTTGGAGTCGAATTTTTCTCTTTTTTGAGTTATTGATATAGGAATAGTAAACGAAGGGTACTCATTTATTAGGATAGAGTGTCTACGTTTGGAACTCGGGTCTAGAGGACCCATTTGAATTTGACTGCCAAGTGGGCCAGGTCACGTGAGGTCCCCGCGAGGACGATCCTTTAGTGGGGCTAACTTGGAGGAAGAAGTCTCCTCCACCCTTGACCTTGGCATAGGGGGAGTACCTCCTCCTTCTGGGAGACGTTTGTCTTCCATATGGGCTATAAAAAGGACCCGTCCTGTAAGACAGGGTCAGTTATTGAGAAGAGACAGTTAGTTGAGAAAAGAGACAGTTAGTCGGCAGAATTAAGGGTCAGATTAAGAGTTAATCCTTTGCACTCGAGAGGTGAGCTTCAGTCACCATTTCATAAAGTTTGGAAGATCGATATTGTGGTATCGCAGGATGAGTGAGTCGAGCATGTTATCTAGAGTGCGTGCGAAAGGACGAATGACCGTGCGTTAGGATCGTGTGGACGGGATGTTTATGAATGTATCGGATGAAAGTGAAGAGTGTCTCTCGGAATGCGTTTCAGTGTTTGGGCTACGTGACCCGCCGAGGGTAACATTGCAAGGAGTGCGTGGGAAAGTGTGATTTGGAAAGGGAGAATAGGTATGAAAGAGAATTGTAGCGTCCTACGGTATCGAATCTCTTCGATTTCCAAGAACGCTTATCACGCGCCAAATTAATATTGCGTGACTAGTTGCGATAATAAGGATCCAGAATGTGTGTGGCCAAAGAGAGTGTTTATTTAGAGAAAAGTGTAGAATAGTTATATTGGGACGTTAACGGAGTACCGTTTCGAACACGCGTTTGTATGTGCAATTTAGATGTTTGAAGGATCGGTGCCGAAGACGAACTGCCTTCTCGATTTTGCTGTATGTCCTGTCTCGTCGTGTTCGGTCCGGAGTTTTCTCTAGTTTAGTTCTGATTGGGTAAAATAGATGTTGGTGGTGGAAAGGTAAAGAGTTTTAATTGGACAGAGGGTGTGACATAAGGACCTTTGGCTAAGGAGTAGGAAACTGTCAAGGAGCCGATTTCTGATGGTC